GGGGGGGGGGGGCGATGTTGTTGTAACCACGTATTATTGTTGTTGATATTATTATTATTATTATAATTCGAGAGGCGCGTTGTGACGGACGACAACCGACTACTGGCGGTGTCGTAATAATAACAACAACAACAACAACAGCAATAATAATACGTGCAGCGGGCCCCGAAATGCTCGCGCCGGACTAGGGGGCGGGCGGCGGGCCGGCGGTCGCGAATAACCGGGGCGGAGGGCGCGAGGTATATATTTGCACGTGTATTATTATACGAGTTAGCGGAAAACACGGTGTAAAAAAAAAAAAAGGTGAAAAGTTTTTTTTATTCCTTTTTTTTTATTTTTTTATTTATTTTTTTATTAGCGACCGTTTACGGTACATGACGTTTTAATAAAACGCCAAGGGGATTTGTAGCGGACGAATGGGCGGACGGCGGACGGGGCACGGTGCAAACACCGAGTGGCAGTCGACGCGGTGGACAAGGTGGGCGCGGGACGTATAGACTAGTAGTGCGACGGGGTCCGACAAAATCGGTTGAAGAGAAACTATCCTTCCTGGACGGCGGTAAATAGTGAGACGGCGGACGAGAGGTGCGGGGAAAAGAGAGAGCCGCGATAAAGAAAAGGACAGGCGGACCCGATATGGGTGGGCGGTAAAGAGAAACGCCGGCGGACGAACAGCGCGTGCGAGCAGGACCGAGAGCTCCACGCCGCCGGAGACTCGTCGCAGATTTAGTGCCCCGGGGGGGGTACGTGCGTGTGTGTGCAAATGATCGATCCTCTTTTCCCGCCGCCGCCGCCGCCGCCGCCGCCGCCACCGCGGGAGTCGACGCCGCCGACAAGCTCAGCCAAAGCACGCCGACCAGGTTGCAAACTCACTCTGGTCCGCTGCCGCCGCTGCCGCCGCCGCCGCCGCCGCCGCCGCTATCGTCATTGCCGCCGTTCATTTTTACAGAGTGGTGCGCGACGACAACAACGACGACCGACAGACAGACGGACGAACAGACGATCAGGCGGACGGGCGGACGGACGGTGAGAGTGCGAGCACGGGACCGAGTTATATACGTATATACGGAGGAGAGGAGAAAACGAGAGAGAGGGATGTGGTCGCCACTGCCGCCGCTCGATCCTCCCCGTCCTGACACGCACCCCCCGGCAGCGCCGCCGTCGTACCACCACCACCACTACCGCCGCCGCCGCCGACACACTTTACTGCCAAATTTCCGTCCCGGGAGTTTTCCGCTCGCTACCCCACTCTGTTTACGCCGGTCCGCTCACTCCCACTCGCTCGCTCGGCCGTCCGCGTGCGCGGCGTGATCGCGGGGCGGTCTCTCTCTTTCTCTTTCTGGATTTGTACTCTATACACACCGTGTTTTTTTTTATTCATAAAATGTTGCAAAACGGTGTGTAGCGCGCCATCGATTTATTTACCCATAACGCGAGCGCGGCGCTATACGACGGCCACCCGCGCGTCCGCGGCCGCCGCCGCCCCCGCGGCCGGAGAAAAGGAATGCGCGCCGACGGCGGAGGAATGATAATAATAAAAAATAATAAAAAACTTTTCTCTCCTTTTATATATAATTTATTATTATTATTATTATTATATTGTTACATTTGTCTCTTGCTCCTATATTACGACTGCGGGCCGCGCGCGGGTGACGTTAAATATTATTTGTAACGAGCTCTAAGGGTGTCGCGTACGTCTGTCTGCGTTAGCGCGCGTCGTCGTCGGCGGCGGCGGCGGCGGCGGCGGCGGCAGTTATGGAACTCTCCCGTCATTGCGTTGTCGCGGTTCCGCGCGCCCGCCCGTCCGCCCGCCGAGGCATCTTGTTCTTTGTTCGTCTCGCGCGCGCGCGTCTCCTCCGTACCGCCTGCCCCTACCGCCGCCACTCGCGACCGCTCCGTGCCACCGGGCCCGAAATAAGTTTCCGGCGAAGTGCGAACCGCGCGGCGTGCGCGGGGAGACGCGACGCTCGCGTAACAATCAAAGACGGTGTGCCGCGCGACGTCGACAGTAATGATGAACCCGGCCGCCCACGTGCAGTCGCCCGCGCGCCGATACGGCACCCCCCCGGCCCTCGCCGCGGAGATCGCACGCGCGCGCGCGCCCGCGGCGTCAATCGTCGCGTTAACTCCCCCCCCCACTCCTGCCCCCCTCCCCGACGGTTCCGTCTACAATATAAAACGGCGGGTCGTTATTTATTTTTTTTTTTTTTTTATTTCGTCTGTATTATTATTTTCCTGTAGCTTTTTTTTTTTTTTTTCTATTATCGGCGCGCTCGTTTTCTTTCCTTCCTTCCTTCCGACGGCACGGAATTGCACGGACACGCGTGCTCCGCGACGACACCGTCTAATTTCCGACGCCGGTCGACGGCCGCGGCAGGCCGTTCGGCGCGCGGTAGGGGCGGTTTGGGGGGAGGACACAGGGGGGTGTGGCCGCGGCGGCGGCGGCGGCGAAACCACGCGCGCCGTATCTCCGGGCGCGGCGCGATACGCGCGTTCGTGCTCTAAAAATAATTTCGCGAATTACCGTCGTCCCGGGGAAACTGACGTCACCGAGCGCCGGCGGTCTTTTGTCCGCGGTCTTTAAAAATCAATTAACGTTTAACATAATTTTCCGCGTTACGCGTACAAGTCTTCCCGCGGCCCGCCGGTCCCCCTTGCCCGTCCGAGATACCCCGTCTCGTCCGCCGTCACCCGCGCCGTGTGAAATAAAACCGTCGTCGCATAATCGTAATTACAGGCGCACGGCCGTACGGGACGCACGGCACCGCGGGTGGCGGTCGGCGCGCGCCCGCGCACGGACGCCCGACAGTTTACAAAGAAAACGATTAAGCCCACACCGGTGTAGCGCACGAGTGGATACAGTGCAGTGTACGTATTATATCGCGGTCCGTACGGCTGTGCGTACCCGCCGCGGTGCGTGTAAAACGTGCAGGGTAAGTCTGTACGGGCCGCGAAAGAATGTTGATGCGCCCGCCGCGCTTCCCCCCCCCCCC